ATTAAATGAGTGGGGCAAACAGATCTTTTTGATGTATAATTTATGAAAGTGAGCAATTACAAAGACCGTGCTGTAACATTAGGCTGGTGAAGCAACAGTGCTTTCCACACCATCTTAGTGTCTCCCCTCAGTAAGGGGCATCATCAGTGTGCTTACTTTCTAAGGAAGAAAATATTTACATGGAAAAGTGCTTACAGGTTTCTGTGGCCCCTCCAGTTCTGACAGTATGTTTTTTTAGTGCCTGAATGCTCTCCAGAGCTGTAGCATGAGGTTCTGTGTGTGTTTACTGCAAAAACATCTACTTTTTTCAGACAAGAATACGAGGTATAAAACACCTACTCCAAGAATTCTGTTGTATTGTAGGTATTGTATCTGTAGCCCTTTGCATAAACACATTGTTCAGACCTACATTTGAGACTCTCTTCTGGCAGGACGTATAAAGTCATTACAGGATGCTTTTGATATAAAGAGAGGATGGGACAGGCAGCCCTTGCTTACTGCAGCAATGCTTGATGCCATTGTGTTTGGCTGTGCCCTTCCATGGTGGCTGCACAGTGTCCTTTATCCTTTCTCCCTAATCCTGTGTTGCAGGGAGTGCCACCCTCCTGCATCTGCAATAGGAGCACTTGGCTCAGGTGCTGTGTTTTGACAGAGGCAGTAGTGAGGCTCTGGTGGCAGAACATAAAGGAAAGAAGGTCCACTGGTTGGGGAGATGGTTCAGTGAGTGGGGCCTGAGCAGTGGCCCTACTGGGGCAGGGTAATTCCCTTTGCACACTGTCCCAAAAAGATTACCAACATCTGATTGTGACAGTACATGCACTGGAGAGCATTTGCTGACAGCTCACCTTTTATCTCAACACCTTTGATTCGTGGAGGCGAATGATGGCACTGCAGTGGAATGTGGTCAGCAATAGCATCCCTTTGTGACTGAAAGAATCTTCCTGACCTGCCTTTGTCCCTTGGGCACTTCTGCTCCTGCCTGCCTTGTAGCCAGCACAGTTGCTTTTATAGCCAGACTGTGAACTCTAGCAAAGAATAGATGTGGCTGAACTTGCTGTCATCTGGAGTTGCTCTTTTCAGCATTTCAGTTCCTGATCGAGTTCCCCAAGCAACAGCCAGGATACAGGGGTCTCGGTAGAGGTGACTGCCATCAGAAAGATAGCATAGTGACTGCCATAGGAAATGTGATGCTTGTAGTTTATCATGTATTGTAATTTCAGCTAATGTCTTAGATTGCTATAATGAATTTTGAGTTTTAACTGCGTTGTGGTCTGCTTCAAATTGTAGGGTTTTCCTCCTTTCCTCCCTTCCCCTGTTGTACGGTGCTTTCCTGCCCATGTTTTTCCCGAAACACCAGTTGTTCCAGTGCTGAAAGAGATTATTAGCTCATGGTGCAACAGAAAGTAGCAACTCAGTGTTTTCTTTTGGATCAGTGAATTAGTGCAACTTGTTTGGTTCCATGATCACAAGGCAGGAAAGGAAAACAATCACATCTTTTAAGCAGTATTCTGCCATGAGCTGAAAGGGAAAAAATCCTGTTTCTGTGTTACAGCTGGGGGCTCCTCAGAGTGGAGAGATCATGACCTGCCTTATTTTGAACTGCAGTGAGATATTTATTACAGTAGTTGTTATTTGACCTGTTTAGAGGTGAAATTCTTTTCCTGTGGTTACAGAAAAGCAAGATAATACTCCATGGTTTGCAGGTAGCAGGTTTAATGTTTAACCCAGAGGAACAAGATAGTTGTTGCACTTGAATTAGCAATGATTTTTCTAAAGAAAGTAAATTTTCCTGGAAACATTACCTCCAATACAATTACTTCCAGACAGGTTTGTTAGTATACAATCTTTTGTATTGCTGGGGGTTTTCTGTTCCAATCTCTACATTAACTTTTTGGCTTCTAGATCTTCAGTCTTCCTACCTAGTAGTGGCAAGAGGCCTGAAGTCCTTCATTTTGCCTGGTGTTTTGGTAATGGGCTACCATGAGTTCTTTGCTTAAGCATTTGCCTTTTTCCAAAATGTTTTGTGTCATCTGCTGTTGTTGATAGATAAGAAGTCTTTCTCACTGGCATTCTGTATTAGAAGTGTACTTCAGCATTTTTATTGAAACTGAATCTAATACTCTGTCCTCCCATAAGCTTCTGGTAATACCTAGATTATTATATGCTGAATTTATCTCCAACAAGTAGTTAATAATACTCTTTAAGTATCACTGGTTTAGCATTTTGATTTTCTGAATCTTGCAAGTTATATTTATGTATTTATTTTCACCTTTTTAGATTAGAAACGGCTTTTTTTTTTTTTTTGTATTTTTATTTTCTTTTTGCTGCTTAGGATTCTTAATCTTACATGCTGTTCACAAAATGGACTGGAATTAACAAAATGACTGTAATAAGAGGAGTAATTAAGAAAAAACTCCAACACCTTGCATTTGAACTGTTTGGAAAAGGCCTTTTTTGTGCAAAGGTTATCAGGGATGCAAAGGTTCTGCTAAAATAGACGTACAGGGGTGAAATGTTATTATTTTGCTGATTAATCATCCTGACTTAGGAAGTAAAAACATAAACAGGGTCTGAGTAGCTGTGAGGTTGTATTAATGTGTATTTGTTGCTAGAAACAGCAAATGATAGTGCAGCAGCCTTCTGCTGCTTTCTCTCAATGTGTTTGATATTTTTTTTCTTCTGCCTGCTGTACTTGGCTGTCAAAATCATAAAGGAATAGTTTCTCTGACAAGTCCTGCCCCTTTTCCTGTCTCGGCATAATCCATCTTGCTGAGCATTCTGCAGTGCACTGCGCAAGAGTGGTTGGTCTGTCTCACTTGAGCGAATTACAGGAGGAGCACTGGAGGATGTTCCCAGGGCTGCTGACAGCAGTCACCTGACGTTTGAACACGTGCTGATACCAAGTGCTGACATCTTCCTTTGCTGTGCGGGCTGATAAGGCATGGCCAAGTCTTGGTTAGGCTTTGGTGTGGCAGTAATCCACTGAGAAGCTGGGTTGATATCAGGGATCTTTAGGAGAGTCCGTGATCTTCCCTTAAATAACTTTGTTTCTGCAGCTGTTGTGCCGGGGAGGAGAGATTCACTTGCAGAATAGGCTGATACACGGTGGGAGATTAAAAACTCAGAGCTTATATGACAGCTTGTTTTGTTTTTATTCCAACTCCAGGTAACGAGAAAATTTGGATTATAAATAGAAAGCTTAACAGTGGGAGTAATATACTATAGATCGCTTGTACACGTGAATGAGTGACCTTCATAACTAACCTATGAGTCATTCCTGTGAGAATAAATTGGACTACAAAACAATTAACTGCAGTGGTTGTGCTTGCTGGTTGATATGCTCGACTGACAAAACTGGCCTTTTTAAAAAATGGACATAGTGCTTGTTTTGGAAATTATAATAATTCCCATATTTCCACGCTCAAGTGTTGGTTAACTTCTATAAAGGTACTAACAGGTCATCTTTAAATTGGGAAAAACTTGCTTTACTTGGGAAAAAAATAGGTTACAAAAAGTGTCTGAGGCAGGAAAAAATCTTGCTTGCCAGTGCATTTAGGATAAAGGTTTGGTCCTGTGTTGTTTTAATAACTATGGATGTTAGGAGAGGGGTAGGGGTATTTTTTAGCAGCTGCCCTTGTTCAACATAAATACATTGTGACATTTCACATTTAAGTAATTGCACATAAACCAGATGGTAACTTATATATTTTTATTACCATATTGATTGCTTAATGATGCTTAATTCATATTGCATTAACTTGGTATAAATTGGATAAATTACTTATCATAAATCAGCTTGGATTTTTGTGGAGGTACCAGAAGTGCATTCCGATACAAATACTGCATTTCTGATCTTCTCTTTGTCAGTTGTAGTTCTGAACAGTCAGGCAGTCACAAGTCTCTCCTTGCTTTCATCCCTGTATTGCTGCTATCACCAGGTTCTGCATTTTTCTTTAAAAGCTTATTCTGAGCTTTCAGTACTGAGTCTCTGTGTGCAAGACTTGGTGAAGTCATTTGTGTTCTCAATAACACTCATTCTGGGAGAATTGCGATTGATGAAGAGAGTGGTTGTAGTTCCTAAACTTTTCTGGTTTTAATCCAAGTATTATGTTTATTGACTTTCTGGTTTATGATTGCAGATTTTTTTCTGTTGTTCTTTGTCTCAAGAGAATTAGAAAAAAGCAGTTTTCTGATAATTCTAGTAAATAAAGACTGCTTGTATAGGTGCTGGTGTTGTACCCCATGGCCCGACACCTCCCCCATCTTATTTGTCCTTTTTGGAAAGAGACTATTGTCTTCCTGGTGGGATGGAACAATAGCTGTTCTGAATGACATAACAGTGGAACTTGAATTTGAAATAACATTTTATCCATGACCCCCTTTCTCTGTTTTTGCCCTCTTCCTCCTGCTTGGTACAGACTGAATGTCTCTCTGGGACACTGTGTGTAAACCTCCATACTTTGCTGCTAAATGTGCATCAGAATACGTGTTTGGAGTATCTAATGTGTCAGGTGCTAAATTAAACACTTGGAACACTTTAGGATTATGAGTCATCAATCCCTGGCTGCTGTTTTTAGATTTCAATAATTAATACAACCGATCTGGAAATTACTTTTCAGATCATGGTGATCCACAATAAATCTTGAATAAAAATAAGCTGGAAAGTTCAGGTACCTGTATATTGCATTATAAATAATGCAGTATTTTCCATCAGGTTTACTAGTTTTTAATGCTAAACAGATAAAATAAGGAAATCAACTATTTTTTATATATAAAATTACTTTTAGGTCCAGAAGCAAGCAGAATTTAGACCAGAAGGAGCATAGGAATTACCTTTGGGGGAGTCTTAGTTCAGTAGCCTCAAATATTTTAAAGGAAGAATCTTACCTGTTAAAGAAAAACGTTTTGTTTGGTTTTTTTTTAAGTAAAGAATCCCTAATGATTAAATACAGAATCACTCAATAATATTGACCACTTAAATGTTGTCTTCTGTTTTGTAGAAGACCCTTTTGAGGACTTCTTTGGAGGCAGGCGGGGTCCAAGGGGAAGCAGAAACAGAGGCGGCGGAGGATCATTTTTCTCTGCCTTTGGTGGATTCCCTGCTTTTGGAAGTGGTTTCTCTCCATTTGATGCAGGTAAATATAAAAACATTTAAGAAAGAATATAGTGTGAGCTCACAAAGTATTGCAGTGTAATAACCTATAATAATTCTCCATTCAGGCAATTCTATGATTGATTTTCTTTTTTCCCTTTTTTTTTTTTTTTTTTTTAATTAAACTGTTCTCTCTAAGGTGTAAATGTAAATAAAGCCATAGTTAGAGTATTTGGTATTTCATTTCATTTTCCAATTTCATTTGGTATATGAACTGAAAGTTCTAAGAAATAGAGCTTTCTGTTTTCTTTATTTTGGTGCTACAGTTTCTTTATGGCTTTGTTTTCAGGAGTGTGATGGCTTTTATTACAGGTCCTGAAAAACATGTGCCTAAACTCCATGGTACTACTTAGTTTGAGTGCTGGGAATCTGGATATTGGTTGGGAAGTTACTGACACAGGACTTGTTCTGCCAGCTCGGGGCATCCCAACGTCTGCACTAAAGCTGATGATCAGAGTCATTAGAGATGCTGGCTTTCCCCTGAGTGCAGAGGGTGGATAAAGGTTGAATGCCTTTTCAGGGGAGGAGTTGACAGATGGTTTTTTGGGCACTGCTGTGCATTTGGAACTTGAACTGTGGGTCCATATGAGAGAAATGGATGGGGCTGGAGCTGTGGTTTTATTCTCATAAATAATGTTAATAATAACAGTGTAATAACTCATAAATAGTGTTAGTGCCATCTAGTCACTGATGCTGTGTGAAGCTGAGGGCTTCCTTAAAAGTAGGATGTAGTCTGAGTGGATCCCACAGTCATGTAAAATTACATTTTATTCAAATGCTTTCTTTTTCAATAGGTTTTACTTCATTTGGCTCACTGGGACATGGAGGCCTTACTTCATCATTCTCCTCTACGTCATTTGGTGGCAGTGGGATGGGAAACTTCAAATCAGTATCAACCTCAACTAAAATAGTTAATGGCAGAAAAATTACTACAAAGAGGTAAGTGATACAAATGTTTATATGAAACCATATTTATATTCATATAAATATAGTGCATCTTTACACACACAGTGATGTGTTCTTGTTTTTTTTTACTTTTGTTACTACATTCATCATATTATTTGGATTCCTCTGAATGCTTGAAAACATTTTGAAATATTTTATTGGGTTCTCTGTCTCTTATTGGCATTGTTGAATTACTTAGTGTTGGTGCTCTTTCAGGCTTCAGAGCCTGCTGTGTAGTGCTGCACATTTTACTATGACTACTTGACTACTGTCTGCCCAGTCAGCTTGAGCTTCTGGAAGGAAAGTGTGCTTGGTGTCTACTGATTGTGAAGCTTTTAGCTGGGAATTGGGAAGAATTTTAGTTTTCCAGACATGAAAGAATTTTCCCTAGCATCTGCTTAGTGTACTTTCCTAGGCAGTGTTTGAGTGAAGTAATTTTTTTCTGTCTGTTAAGTGAAATAAGCAACTGAAGCCTGCTTTGGAGAAAAAAATGTGCCTGTTTGTTGGAAAGTGAATTTTCAAGTCCTGTGCACAATGTACTTTCTCTCCATTTCATGCTTGTGATGGGGAAATCATTGCATTTGGGAAACCCAAGTCTTAGTGAGTTATAGAATAACCTACATGGAATATTATAATCGATATAGGAGTACTGAACAAGTAGTTCAGTGTAATTTCATTACTTAATAAAAAAATTACAGAAAAGCAAGGGAGGATGAATTTTTGTTTGTTAACTTCTGTCCCATACTTTTAAGTGCAAGGTTCTTCTGTGAACTTCTGTGCTGGAGAGCTCCTATCATCTTGACCACTTAAAAACAGCCTCTGGATCACATGCTGGTGTGGTCATGTTATTTTTCTGTGAGTGTATTCCAGAAAAATCTGAAAACTCAAAAGCTCTTTAATAATCTCTCTTTCAGTCAAGGATACTTGAATTTTATAACATACATGCTGGTCATAACATTCGTGTATAGTTGGCCTACAAATCACTTGATCCAATCAAATTGAAAGTGGATTAAAGACTGTCTTGTGTGCAAAATTGTGATTAGTTCTGCAATATCATACATTTAACAAATGGCTAGGGACTAAATGCACTGACAAGATTGTGCAGTTGATCTGTCAGAGCATTTAGGCCTAGATAAAAGTGTGTAGTGTGAGCACAACTGTGACAATGTATGAGATGGCAGCTGTAACTGTGAACTCTACATCCTGGAGGATTCCAACTTCCAGAAGGCAATTTTCCTGACTAAGCAGTGGGAAAATGCAGATGGTTACTGGTGACAGCTCCGGCACTGGTAGATACCAAAGCTTGCCAAGTACAGTTGCATTAAGCAGGTGGTGCTCCCTTACAGTTTGTTGTCTAAACCCAGGGCTTGATGTGTGTTTCAAACTGTCAGCAGCGCTCTAAAATGGCTCATGGTGTTTTTGTCCTGCAGAATTTTTGAGAATGGACAAGAGAGAGTAGAAGTTGAAGAAGATGGCCAGTTAAGGTCGCTAACAATAAATGGTAAGGAGCAGCTGCTACGCTTGGATAACAAGTAATTCAACGCACGCATTTAACAGAAATTTTAAGCTATAACAGCCACCATTTGAGGATTGACAGGAACATTTTTTGAAGATTTCAAACGAATTCAACTTTCTGTATATCCGTATTCAATCTTAAGTAGTGTAAGTAGCTCACAGAAGCTCATATTTGTCATAGACTTTTGAGTTAATTGTTGGGACCACATCAATTGGACCATTTTTTTGTCCTTAAAATTGTTGTAAACTTCTGTATGCACTTTTCTTTTCTTATCTGTGATCAAGGTGAACCATGATCCTTCAGTAGTGCTAGGGCAAGATGTACACTAACACTAGCATGAATCTTGCTTTTTCCAATTTGAAATGTGAGCCAATTAGTAGTTCAAGTCTGCTGTGAAGTTAACAGTTCCAGGATAACCTTTTTAATAATTTCAACTTTTATTTTATTTTATTTTTTTTTTTTTAATGTTTAGTAGTGAACAATGTTAATACATTTCTGGTAATGCATTTCTGGTTTAAATAAATTAAGGATGTTTTCTAGTTGTGCATGAATGCAGACAACTTTAGTAAGTTTTGACAAATGTTTAAATGTGTAATGTAAGCAAAAGGTAAACAAAAGTGAAGCCAGTGAGCTGAGTCTTTTGTCATTTGCTAAAAAAAAAAAAAATTCAAAATGAATAAATGCTGATGTTTGTGGTGCATTCTTTCATGAATGGCATTTGTAACCTTCCTGTGTCTGTGTGTGATTTGGGCAACTTGGGAAAACGGTGCTTTTTTTTTTTTTCTCCTTACCATCTTTTTCTTCAATCTTAAGGATGAGGGCCTTTTTTCTTCACAGATGTTTTCTTCAGTGTGACTGAAAACATGGTTTTTAATTTCATTTCTAAACCTGTATTCAAAGCACCTATTTTTAAGAAGCATTCAGAGGCTGACTCTCTAACTCCATCTTTTGCCCTAATACGTAATTATCTTAGGTCTAGCCCTAAAGCATCTCTATTTTAAAAAAGCTTTCTGAAGTTGTTCTGAGATTTGCTTCAAAAAATAATCTGTAGTAAATATAAATATACATTTGATAAATTTATTTATTTAACATTTAATAATTACAAAAATGCTTTGAAAATTATGAGATTTTTTTTCTGTTTTGAAAACAAATAGTAATTGTTTTGAAGATTTGGACACAATCATTAGGATTATGATATCTCCCTCTTATTTTTAGTCCTTAACCAAAAATCAAAAGATGGATTAATGCCCTTTGTTAAATTAATGGAGTGAAGTAAAGTGTTTATTTTTAGCTAAGACCAGATTTTCAAAGTTTAGTGAAAGATGATTTGGTTTTGATGTGAGAAAGCATGCAGATAACCAATGGTGTATGATAACACCTGCCAGGTTCTGGATAGTTCCATGCAGAGATCATGGATGTGCAGTTTTCGTCTGTGCACCAGCTTTGAACATCTGGCCTTCACAAAACTTCAGGGTGGCTTAGTGTTTTTTTTTTAAAAAAAAAAAAAAAAAAAGCAAAAAAAAAAAAAGCATGGTGTTTTCAAATGATCACATAATGCCTTCCTGCTGAACACCATCTGCTTTGTACTAACAAATGTGTTGATTATTAAATACATTGAAAAGATATGCTCTTGTTTTTCATGCAGGAGAAGCATTTCAATTTAAGCCAAAACAAGCTAACAAACTGCTACAACAGAATTTGTATTTGCAGTAAAGTTAGTATATTGTACTTTTGTCCCTCTACCATTAATGCTAATTTGATAGAACTGAAAAAAATAACATGTAGAAGAAAAAATAAATATGTACTTTGGTTTTGGGACTAAGCAGTTATATACCTTTTCAAGTTCTTTGCAGAGTTCCTGTCACTTCAGTGTTGTGTTTTTGATGTAGAAGCACAAACTTAGTTTAGAACTAAACAGTGTTTTCTTGTTAATGCTGTTTTTTCCCTCCCCATGTATGTTACTTCTTGATCCAGATAACTAAACGTGAAATTTATTTCAAAATTTGGCTTTGTTGTGATGTCTTGAGTTATTAAAAATGTTAATTTATATTTATAGGATGCAGTGTGCTCCTTTAAATTATGTAAATTGTAAAAAATGCTTTAAAATTGATTAACCAAGTCAAATAAAATTAGGACAATCTGGAGTTGAGTTTGAATGCCTTCCTCTGGATACCCATAGGCTTTATATTAAAGTGCCAAACTTCGCCTTCTAGTTTTATTCCAAGTCATCTTCTTTAGCATTTAAATTATCTTTCTCAGGTTAAGAACACAATTAGGGTGGCAAATCTGTACCCACATGTTTATCTTCTTACCTAGGAAAAGTGTGGTCCTTCTCACAGTGTTACGCACAAACAGGTCACACCAGGGTTCTACAGTGAAATTTTTTTAACATTGAATGTGCTCAAGATCCAGTTTTTTGGATAGTCTCTCTTCTGCCTTCAGGTCCCCAAAGCTGCTTTGGAGCTGGCCAAAATGCAGCATTACAATGGCAGTGTTGCATTTCCTTGGTAGGAAAGCAAAACAAGGAATGAGTCAGCAGAAGGCAGAATTTGGCAGTAGATTCCTGCAGGAGTGAGATACCCACACACCAGCATTTCCATAGACTGGTGGTTAAACTGGATATGTGGTCTTGGTCCAAATACATCATTAGACCAGCAATTCCAGTTCCAGGTTCAAAAAATAATTCCAGCTCCAGGTTCCTGTCATCATTCACTTGACCTAAACCTAACAGTCTCCATCTCTTTCAGTGTGGTTTTTGAAATAACATCACAGTCAACATTTTTTTTTTTTTGATGCAACTTCTTGCATCCAGCTCCTTTTCTTAAAACACAAAATAAATCCACACTCCATGTTATATTCAGAATTTCTTCTGATTAATTTAGTTATTTTCTCCTTAAAACCTACTTGCTAGGTTGCTTTTAAAAAAAATTCATGTTGTTCCTTTCTAATAGATAATTTGCATGGATGTACGAGACCTGTTTATTGGAAGTGATAGGTCATCAAGGGCAGCACATTTACTTAAACTTCAGTTTTGGCTAAAATAGTAACAGAAATAAATAATAAATAATAACAGAAAACATTCTTGATAGCAAGTGCTAGATACAAATGTACAGTGGGATGAGGCAGCTTTCAAAACCAGGTTCTATTGGATTAAAAGTGCCATCTTTTCATACAGGAGGGATTAATTTTGTATGTTTAGGGACACCATCCCATTTAAATTAAGCTTCCTGGAAAAACAGCAGTTTGGAAAAACCAAGATGGAGTTTTTGAAGCTGCTAAGTCATTTACTCTTTCATGCTCTGCTTCAAAGTTCATTGGTGGATACAAGAACTTTGGAATGCTTTCTCCTGGTGCAGCCTCTTTCGGGTCCCTTGTGCATGGCAGTAATTCCAGTACAGCACACTAACCCCAGTTTCTCTGTAGATTGCATGGCACCTACCCCTTCCACTTGGCTTTACTGAAGGAGTTTGGAATTTTGTGTTAGAATGCTTCACATTGTAAAATGGCTGCACTCCTGCAGTGCTCAGCTATCACAGTACCTTCTCTGCTGAGAATCAGAGGGGTTGATTTGTGGTGTAGGTGGCAAAGCTGCTCTGCAGAGAATGTGTACGTAGCATTTGTAAGGTGGATCCTGTATCAACTTGTGATTAATTGATGAGCTGAGTTAGAATGCTGAGAACAAGATTGTAAAAGATTTAAAAACCCATCATCTCTAAGCCCAGAGGGTTTGTATCTCTTCTCAGTGTTTGTGTTTGGTTATCCTGTTTCCTTGACTCCTTCAGTGTTTTGGCATTAGGTGTTACTGGAGGTGTGTCTTTTGTATTTAGCTGTGCTGTGTTTCAGACCATCTGTGGGATGGTCCAGTGATAAAGTTAGATTATTTTTTTTATTTTTGGAAATGTGAGTTCCTGAATATGCTTCTGTTCTGAGAAGTGAGCTTAATACCTCCTTTGCCTAAGTTTAATCTGTGATTGTAACAGGATAGTGCTTCTGAAGATGGTTGTGTTGCAGAATGAATGCTACAGCTGTTTGATGCTTGTGGTAAGAGAACCTTTGAAAAGGGTTCAGTTCTTAAAATACTTGTTAACCTTTTTGTGGAAGTGTTTCTTAGTATTTTTGGAAAATCTGTCTCTTTGGTTATGATTTTTGGATGTTCTGGTATTTAGGCTTATTTTTAAGTCTTGGTATTCTCATGGGCTAGTGGCAACATGGACATCAGTAATCTGCCAGTCAGCAGTAACCAAGAGTTGGAACTTTGCTTTTTCAACATAAGAAAGCTTGTTTGCATTATCTGCTCCCTCGGGGCTTGTTTACTTTAGGATTGAATTGTGATCACAGACTTGTTTTGCCTAGTACTCAACATAGACAGTTTGGGTTTTCTTGTTATTATTTGTCAAGTGGTTGTTGTTGGTACAGAACTTCTTATCTTCCACCTAAATGCTGAAATGGTCCTTACATTGCACTAGGGATGGAATGAAGAATGTTGACTTTGTAAGTGTTACCCGTTGTACCTTTGAATTTATAATGCTGATAGGTTTCCTACTTGGTTTTGAAAAAAATACCTTGGCTAGAGTTGGTTGTTGAGTGAAGTGCGCTGCTGAAAGGTTAGAGCTGAGCTCTGCTGTATAGGTCATACATTCACAAAATAATAAACTTCATGTTTGAGATGCTGCTGTCAGATTAAAAAAACCCAAAAGAATTAAAATTCTGTGATGATCAGAGCCATAACCCTGAACCTCTGCAAACTGTGCTGATTTAAACTCATGGAAACTTGTCTGAAAACTCTGTTCTGGCAGACTCAGCACTGCATTAGGTGTTATCTCACTTACAACAGCTGGTAGAAAGTTAATCAAAACCCCACATGAGTACTCTACGCTCTGTCATGCTGCTGTGGCCAAAAGATACACAGGAGTTTGGAGGTGATAGTGCCCAGGCCTGAAAGCTGGGCTCTCCTGGTGTGAGGTAGTTGCACTGATGGCCTGACT